AGCAGGAAAAGCCCTTTGTTTACTTTTCTGCACTCGTATTGAGATGCGTGCAGGCTGCCCCTATTAATGAATGGAAATGCTGTAGGGCTCTGCCAGGTCGCACAGACCTGGCTGAGACCTGCAGTGCTTCTCCACAAAGATGGCGACGCAGGACAAAGTCTGGGTTGGACAGAGGACAATACTGGACTCCATGGAGAAGTGAGTACATTATTTCTATATACATACAGGAATAAAAAAAAAAAAAAAAAACACAACAGTTAGGCTTCATGCACATAGCGTTAAAAAATGCCCTTTTTTTACAGGTGTTTATTTTTTTCGGCCTCTAAACGCACCTCTATGTTATCCTATCTGTCCATGAACACAAAGGTCTATTACAGGAGTTTCAGAAGAGGAGGTGGTTTACAGGCCAAGAATAAAATCATCACCAGCTCATTCAGAAGAGTGTATAAACAGAAAAAGCGTATGAATGCGTATAAATGTGCATTTACACTACACATGTTCAAGTGCGTTTGTGTGTTAATGCATTCTAATGGCAATAAATTAATATTCTGGACAGTAGAACGCATTAATGTGTCGTTAAACCCACATCATACAAAACAGTATTTCATGCTGTACATATTCACTCAGTCACTATGGGAATTGTTTTCTGTATTCTGCAAAAAACCTGCTTGATCCTGTTGTTCTCTGTCTCCCCCTTCTGTCCATGTCCCCACTGAAGTTGATTTTTCAGAACAGTGTTGGCAGCTACTGCACATGCTCAGTTTTCAGTGTATTTCTGTACTCCGCATTCTCTTCCTATCACATCTCACCAGCCCATGTGACAATAGAGCAACATATGTGGGCATATACACAGTGGTAAATGACAACCCGCTCCCTCCCTCCTCCTCCATGCCCACTAGCCAGCTAAACAGAATGGGGTGGGATATTACATCTTGATTGATGGAGGCTTCACCTCCCTGTTATTTATTCTAAGACACAGTCTGGAGGGGTGTGACACAGCCTGTGACTTGTATAAATCCGCCCACACCATGTTATTACCAAAAATAATAAAGATTTGATTTCAAATAAATATTTGTATGACAACTTAAACAGTTTATTGATATTATTTATTTTTACTCTGTATTCCAAAGGCAGTTTTTTGAACATGTGACCAGCAGCAGAGGACTAGAAGCTCCTTCTGCCACTATTTCCCTGCAGGCAGGCTGGGAAACAGCTGCATATTGATTAGGAAAAAAGGTACATAGATTTTTTTTTTTTCAAATAGTTAGGATGTCATCATCCACATACAGAAAGAAAAGGGATAATGTAAATTAAGCAGTGTGTGTTTAGTATCGGTTTAATGCCAAAAACATGAACACACTTAAATGCATGTGCAAAATGTGGCTTTTATCACAGTTTTCTAAGCCACTTTTCTCCTGGCAGGAGAAGAGGCATTTAGAGGAGCTGAGCAAACACTCCGTGTGTGAGGCCTTAAAGAAGAGCTCCAGTCTCATCTGTAAAAATTCGAAAGCCAGCAGCTACAAAAATTGTAGCTGCTGACTTATAATAAACAGAAACTCACCTGTCCCAGGATCCAGTGCTGTGCTCACCCCAGCCGTTCTCACCTCCTGTCTTTTGTCTCAGGCATTTTTTTATCTGTGGGCACCCAGCTGTGACAGGGAGTGGAGGTGCTATGGAAAGAACTTCCACTCTGATCACCTAGGCGGTCAGAGCTGAAGTGGGAGAGGATACCTGTCAAAAATCGGGTACCTTCCCCCACCCCCCCCCCAAAAAGTGCCATTTTTTTACCACAAGTGGGGAAGGAGGACTTTCCTTTTTGGATGGAGCACCGCTCCAAATTAGGTGAAAGTGGAATTGCTCTTTAACTGCTTCCCTATCAGCAACAGTAAATATACGTCCTGGTAGGGAAGCAGTGAAACCGGGATCATGGCTGAGGCTACAAAAATTATCCCAGTATCATTTTTTTTTCAGCCAGCGATCCTCTATGAAGTAAAAGTAATCTGAGCGGCTAAGCAGCTGCTGGATTACTTTTCCAGGCGTACACCCCACCCTGCCGTTTACCGACACGGATGCACATGAAGCCCAGGATGTTATCTGCTGCTGCAACCCGGTTATCACAGATATGACCAAGGACCGGATCGTCCCTGGCCATCTCTATGATCCTGGGAGGCCGGAAGCAATATCAAAACATTACTGCCAGTTCTGGCGATTTAAACACTGCCATTTGTTTGCTGGAAAGCACGAAATCAATTTTGTATGATCTCATGCTTTCCAGCATAGAGGTTAATAGACCTCAGATCTCTCCAAAAAGAGGACCTGTAATGACTAATTTCTATCACAAGAAAAGATTACATTCCTTGTGATAGGAAAAAAAGTGATGAAAAAGAACTTTAAAAAGGAACAGTATGTAAAAAAAAAAAAATGTTTTAAGTGCTCCCTTCCTAGCAATCCTCACAGCCGCATATGTAAATGGTGTTTGCACCACATGTTAGGTATTGCCGCAAACATTATAGCGATAGCAATATTTCAAACACTCTTCTGTAACTCTAAATGGGTGAACTGTAAATATTTTTTAAGTGACGCCTATTGAGATTTTTACGTTTTAGATTTTGTTCCCATAGTTGCAGCCACTCCCGCCACCCCACCTCTCTCTTACAGATAGTACAGGGGAACTTCTCCCCGTATTGTCTGTGAGATTTGAAAACAGTGGGGTCGTGCGGGGCTCCGCCGCCCACATGGCTGCTTCATTCATTCATGGACTTAGCAGCTGTGGGCTTGTAATTTTCAATGAGCTACCACGGTACTGTGGAGCGCCATGGTAGTTCATTGAAGCTTCCTGTCAGAATATCTGCTTGACCGTACATCCCGTACACCAAGCAAATATTCTGACAGGTCTGCAGGAGACCTGCATGACATCATCGATCTACTGATCCCTGGTGCAATGATTTCCAGGCTCCTTTGGACAAAAATAATAAAAGCACATTTATTTACCTGCAAAAATTTTTTTTAAAAAATGTGCATTTATTATTTTTGTCCAAAAGGTGAACTTATCCTTTAAGTACAGCAGTTTGCCACCATTCCATGAGTGTGCACAATTTTAAAGCCTGACATGTTTGGTGTCCATTTACTCGGCGTAACATCATCTTTTACATTTTGCAAAGAATTTGGCTTACGCATTATGTTTTTTTGCATTAGAATTCATTCAAATGTATTATTGCCAAAAAAAAAAAAATTTAAGTTTGAAAAATCGCTGCATGGCAAAAAAAATTGCAACACCCATCGTTTTTTTTCTCTAGGGCCTCTGCATATATATATATATATATATATATATATATATATATATATATATATATATATATATATATATATAATGTTTGGGGGCTTCTGAGGAATTTTCTAGCAAAAAAAATAAATTTTTTTTTAAATGTAGAAATGTCAGAATAGGCTTGGAAACCAAGTGGTTAAAGCGGAGCTCCATCCAAAAAGGGAAGTTCTGTTTTAAGGCCTTATCCCTAGCTCCCCATTAACAATTGGCACCTTTGGGGAGTGGGTAGATTTTGACAGGTACCCGCTCCCATTCTGCTGCCATTGCATAGGTGATCAGAAGTGGAAGTTCTCTCCCCCTCCCCCACAGTCTTCTGGGACATGTGACAGGTCCCAGAGAACTGCGGGACCATTCACAAAACGCATCACTACTCACGCATGCGCAGTGGGCACCTAGTTGTGAAGCCATAAGCTGTCACAGCCGAGTGCCCACACTTAGCATGATGGCACCGGGGACACAGGACGGCCGGTGAAGCCGGCTGCGGAGAGGACACCGCTGGATCCTAGAACAGGTGAGTGTCTGGTTTTTCTTTAAAAGTGAGCAGCTACGGTTTTCGACTCTTTTTTGCACCGGAGATACGCTTTATTCAGCAAAACGCACGCCATCGCAGTTTTAAAAAAAAAAAAGCAAACCATGCAATGCGCACGGCAACGCCCCCCTACATTGCACACCAGCAGGGGGCACATTGTAGCCTGAAGGCTGTGGTAAGCGATCCCTAAGGCCAATGGGAATTTTGCTGCCCTGCCTTCCTAACGCCCACTGACATCAGCTCTAAGTAAGTCCGGCAGCACTGTAACCCATAGCAACCGCTCCTGTGAACAGAACTGAAATCTGATTGGATACCAAGGTCTCCTCTGTCCACTTTTTCTTATGAAAAGGAAGTCACCACCAAGAAAAACACCTGGGTGAGAAGCCACTGCTGGACACTGACCCCGTAATGTGGCTGCCTGGGAGGGGCTGCTTCTATCAGGCTTCTCACACAGGTGCTGTGGTCCTGACAATGTCAGGGGAGGGCCAGAAGTTGCAGACCAGGACTTACCCACATCTGGGTCGAAGGGGTTGGAGGTGAAGAGCGGCATGGCTGCGGGGGAGGACGGGATGGGGGGTCTCCTCAGGATGCTGGATCCGGGAATTCCTGCTGATCACTCCCCTCCTCCTGTCTGCCTGAGCATCAGCTCTCCAGAGGGGCCACACAGCTGCCTGGGCCACTGAGCATGCCGGGAAATGCGGCTGTCTATTCCATTGCCTGTCCCCACCAAGACATATAAAAGGCAGCGGCGCCGGGCTGTCCCCTCTTATTAATTAGGAGGGGAGACAAAGGAGACGGAGAGAGGAGCTTGTCAGCGACTCCCTGGACTGATGCTGGGATTGGAATTTGATGACGCTCCCTCTGGGGGGAGAAGGCGGAGACAGGTATTGCGCAGCCGCACTGCAGAGGGTGGGGGGCTGACGAGATGATCAGGTTGTGCGCATGGGTAAGGGGGATACCCTGCCGATGCAAAAAAACAAAAAGCGGGTCATGTGATCACAGATTACCTGATAATAAACAACACCACGTGATGGAGTCCTGGTCACGTGGCCGGTCATTGATCTCGTTTCATGTCCTCATCGGTGTCTCCTGTGTTCTTGTATATGAAATACACACGTCATCCATCCCCCGTGTTCAGTCCAGGGGCGGACTGACAACTCATGGGGCCCCCGGGCAATAGGGGATCATGGGGCCCCTGTGTCCTTGCCCAAACTCAAAAAAGCCTAAGAAAAATGTACCAGGGGCATCTCATGGGGCCCCCTACTGACCCCGGGGCCCTCGGGCAGTGCCCGAGTTTCCAAATGGTCAGTCCGCCCCTGGTGCAGTCACTCAGTCCTAATGTCTGGGACTCTTCACACCATTTGCTCTGAGATGTACTAGGCAGAGTTGTCCACCCCAGATACCAGGCACTGTGTCTTGTTTCCTTTGTCGTCCATTCACACCGCAGTGTTGTGCGCTGAAAAATTACTCTGAATAAAGCATACAGTGAAGGAGATAAGTATTTGATCCCCTGCTGGTTTTCAATGTTTGCCCCTCACACAGAAATGATCAGTCTAAAAATCAAATGGTAGGTGTATTGTAACACTGAGAGACAGAATAACAACAAACTCAGAAGAAATGCAGGTCTAACAAATGATGGCTGATTTACATGTTCATGAGGGAAATAAGTATTTGATCCCCTATCATTCAGCAGGATTTCTGGCTACCCGGTGTCTTTCATACAGGTAACAAGCTGAGATTAGAAGCCCTCCTGAGATGTGTACAAACCTGGTGGCCAACTCCAGGAAACGTCTGACCTCTGTGATTGCCAACAAGGGATTTGCCAAGTACTAAGTTATGTTTTGTGAAGGGGATCAAATACTTATTTACTTCATGAACATGCAAATCAGTCATCATTTGTTAGACATGCATTTCTCTTTTGAATTTTTTGTTGCTATTCTGTCTCTCAGTGTTACAATACACCTACCATTTGATTTTTAGACTGATCATTTCTTTGTGAGTGGGCAAACATTCAAAATCAGCAGGGGATCAAATATTTCCTTCAATGTACCTGTGAACCCTCACCTTGTAACACAAGCCATTCAGTTACTAAACCCCGGACCCTGCATTCACTATATCTGGTCTCCCCGGACCCTGCATTCACTATATCTGGTCTCCCCGGACCCTGCATTCATTATATCCAGTCTCCCCACCCTGCATTCACTATATCCAGTCTCCCCGGACCCTGCATTCACTATATCCAGTCTCCCTGGACCCCGCATTCACTATATCTACTCTCCCCGTACCCTGCATTCACCATATCCGGTCTCCCTGGACCCCGCATTCACTATATCTACTCTCCCCAGACCCTGCATTCACTATATCTGCTCTCCCCAGACCCTGCATTCACTATATCTGCTCTCCCCAGACCCTGCATTCACTATATCTGCTCTCCCGGACCCTGCATTCACTATATCTGCTCTCCCGGACCCTGCTTTCACTATATCTGCTCTCCCCGGACCCCGCATTCACTATATCCGGTCTCCCCGGACCCCGCATTCACTATATCTGGTCTCCCAGGACCCTGCATTCACTATATCTGGTCTCCCCGGACCCCGCATTCACTATATCCGGTCTCCCAGGACCCCGCATTCACTATATCCGGTCTCCCAGGACCCCGCATTCACTATATCTGGTCTCCCAGGACCCCGCATTCACTATATCTGGTCTCCCAGGACCCCGCATTCACTATATCTGCTCTCCCCGGACCCGGCATTTACTATATCTGCTCTCCCCGGACCCGGCATTCACTATATCTGCTCTCCCCGGACCTCGCATTCACTATCTGCTCTCCCCGGACCTCGCATTCACTATATCTGCTCTCCCCGGACCTCGCATTCACTATATCTGCTCTCCCCGGACCTCGCATTCACTATATCTGCTCTCCCCGGACCTCGCATTCACTATATCTGCTCTCCCCGGACCTCGCATTCACTATATCTGTTCTCTCCCCGGACCTCGCATTCACTATATCTGCTCTCCCGGACCTCGCATTCACTATATCTGCTCTCCCCGGACCTCGCATTCACTATATCTGCTCTCCCCGGACCTCGCATTCACTATATCTGCTCTCTCCCCGGACCTCGCATTCACTATATCTGCTCTCCCCGGACCTCGCATTCACTATATCTGCTCTCCCCGGACCTCGCATTCACTATATCTGCTCTCCCGGACCTCGCATTCACTATATCTGCTCTCCCCGGACCTCGCATTCACTAGATCTGCTCTCCCAAGACCCTGAATTCACTATATCCAGTCTCCCCGGACCCTGCATTCACTATATCCAAACTCCCCAGACCCTACATCCACTATATCTGGTCTCCCACAGTTCTCAGAACATGGAAATGCAATTATTTTAGTAGATATAAACTGCTAAATACCTTTTCTCATCAGCAGTTAGTGACTTCTATCAGTGTTCAGCAAAGCACTGTTTAAAACTTGTAGGATGAGTTTTCATTCTCCTCTGACTGTCCTATGAGGCTGCAGGACCCCATGACCCTCTGGACAAGTGCTGATTGGCCCTGTGCTGATCACATACACTCTCCCAAGAACAAAACAAACTCTCAAGCAACACAAACTGAGCATGTGCAGCTTGCCCCCAAGGTTCTGTTCTATCAGGAGAAGGATTGGGAACAGTAGAAGGGGAGGATCAGAGAAGACACGATCAAACATCCTTTTTACACAATGCAGAGGATTAACCTCTTAAAGTGGAGTTCAAGCCCTTTCTTTTTCTCCTCTGAAAGGCCGTTTTGGAAATATATATATGTACATATGTGGATATATATATATATATATATATATATATATATATATATATATACACACACACACACACGTGTGTGTGTTTTTTTTTTTTTTCTAAATACATTTTATTGATAATTTCTGGCTACACTTCCGGTCCCGGTCACCTAGGCGATTACATCATCAGGCATTCCCAAGGGCTTCTGGGATATCGGTGTCATCTATCCCAGCAGTCCTAGGGAATACCTAATACCAAAATCTCGCTTTATTATGAGACTGGAAGTGACGTGACTGCTGGGATTTCTACGCACTGCGCAGGCAAGAGAAAGTGCCACACCTTCTTCACACTGCGCAGGAGCGAGAACAGGAAGTGCATGCTGGGTAGCCAGTTGCACAATTTCCCGTAAGAATGTCTGAGCGGGCTTCAGGTGCCCACACTTCAGATGACAGCGCTCAAATATGACGGTGCAGTAAGTAATTTTATTTTTTATAAGGAAAGCAAAAGATTAAAAATACAGGAAATCTCAATTTGCATTGCCTAAGCTGCCACTTTCACGCGGGTGCCTTTAGAAATAATAATTAAACAGCCAGAACTCTGCTTTAAGTTTCCATAGTGATTATAACAAGCATGCTTTACAGCATATACAGACACCTAAAAACGGGTGGAATATGTAACATGTTCCCAAAGGTGAACCTATCCTTTAAGATCGGGGTTACTGCAGGTCAAGCTGGATGACATAACAGGTTGGGACTCTATCTCCTCCACCTGGTTCTGGAAGACCATGGAACCTTCCAGAAGTCAGTGGGCAAAAGAGGTGGAGATAGGGTTGCCACCTCAATGCTTTAAAACCGAACACATATTAATTACACAGGTTCTGAGGCTAATTTAATGCAGATAAGGCACTAAGTGAGTTTAGTTACCACTTTAGTCAGCCCCAGAACCTGTGTAATTAATATGTGTTGGGTTTTAAAGGCATGAGGTGGCAACCCTAGGTAGAGACCTAATCTGCATGTTTATGGGAGTCTAACCAATCCCAGGTTTGGAGGCCCTGCTAGAGTGCTGAGGCCAACCAATAAATATGGGTTAGTCATGCTGGCAGGGGAGTCGGGAGGAAGATGGAATGCTGAGGAGGCTGTCTGTGGACTGGGAAGGGTCCCCTAAGTCTATAGGGGGGCTGGCTCAAGAGGATCCATTGAGCATCACGATATGAACAGGATCAAGTCAAAAACAACAAAAAAACAAAAATTCCAAACTTACCAACCAGCCTGCAGCCAACCAAATTATCCTGTCTAACAGTTCACCAGGGGTTTAGTTAGCACACATTTGAAAATACATGCATAAGCTTCAGAGCTTCTTTATGGCACACCATTATTTTCTGCAGTCCTAACTCTATAAGTCTGAGAGCCTCCATAGTAGAAGCACATGTATTATGATGTGTAGCACCCTCCTAGTTTAGCTAGAGGGAGCTAAAATCCTGATTGTTAATGAGGAAGGCTGAGTAGCAGCCCGGTTGTAATAGCCAGAAGGTCAAATTGTGCTCAGGAGCTGAGAGGCTCTGTAGGCCATCTCCTCTTGAATTTCCCCCTGCTCTAGGCTTTGGAGGAAGACCCTAGATGCAGTGGGTGGATCTGAGAAGTGGCTGGCTTGCACTCTTGAGGGATTCTGGCCAATCCCCAACAGGAGGTTGGAAAGGGGCCAGGAAAACCTTAAAAGTGTTGTTCAGCTGCAGGAGAGTTTGGGTGGAAGACAGGGAGGAAGATGTGAGGCTGAAGAAAGAAGGCTACAAGGAGGCCCAATGGGATAGGATCTACCTGCAGTCCTAGAGCTGGAAAGGGAGAAGCTCATACTCTCACTGGCCTCCAGAGCGAGGACAACCTGTATGGCAGGGAAGGAGCAGCCCAGCTAAAAAGGCCTGTTAGCAGCCATCAGCCCACCAGCGGCACAGGAAAGGATCTGAGTGAGTACACCTGCACCCCCTGGGTGGATAGGCGGAGCACTCTGATGGGAAACCAGATTCGCTTCCAATTTGGAACTGTCCACTTTTAAAGTAACAGGCAATAGATCCCCTGTTCAGGGACACCTCCAGATTTCTGGGTGAAGAAGAGTTTATCTAGGGTCTGGGGTGGTACATTAAAGATACACTGGCCAGCTCTCCAACAGATTTTTCCAGTGGATTTGAAGTATTCGAGTTGAATCCGAAATGAAAATATTGAATCAATCCAAATTCATTGTGAAGAATAGCTGGTTCTATATTTAATTTGAAATTCAAATTTCAGAAGATGGCTATGTTCCTTCTATTTTATTCCATTCTTTTTGAAATTTGAAATTCGATTTTCAGAAGATGGTGATATTTGTTCTATTCTATTTTATTTTATTCTATTCTTTTATTTTATATTCTATTGTTTTCTGTTCTGTTCTATTCTATTAGTTTCAAATTTGATTCAAATTCAGATCATTCATTATTTTGGACAAAATTTTGTTTAATTATTTCGGATTCATTTAAATTCGTTACTCTTGTAATTCAGATACATTAGAATTTCTGAATAACAGATATTTTGTCCAAATTTCGATTCAAAACAAAACAGACCACACATGTCTACCTCAAACCTGATGGTGCAGTGTTTCCTATTTAGGTACCCTGGCATACATCATCTTCTGAGGCAGGCTAGAAGAGTGTGTAGCACTGCACATTATCACACAGTGTTTGACTGGCTGACATTCAGCGGCAACTCAAACTGTCTGGTATGTGATTTACCTGCAGTTCCATCAGCTGGCTGTCAACAAGTATATGTGTGGTACAAGGACAGGCTCAGGAGATCTGGGTTTTTTCACCATGTCAATTTATTCTCTCTCTCCCTCCCTCTCTCCCTCCCGCCCTCTCTCTCCCTCCCCCCCTCTCTCTCTCTCTCCTATCTCTCTCTTCCCTATCTCTCTCCTTCCTCTCTCCCTCTCTTTCCCTCTCTCTCGCCCCTTCTCTCTCTCTCCTTCTCCGCCCTCTCTCTCTTCTCTCTCTCTTCTCCTCTCTCTCTCTCTCCCCTCCCTCTGTCTCTCTCTTCCCCCTCTCCCTCTCCTCTCTCTCTTCCTCCCCCCCTCTCTCCCTCTCTCTCTCCTTCTCCCCCCTCTATCTCTTTTCTCTCCCCCTCTCCCTCTCTTTCTCTCTCTCCCTCTCTCTCTCCCCCCTCCGTCCCTCTCCCTCTCTCTCTCCTTCTCTCTCTCCCTCCCTCTCCCTCTCTCTCTCTCTCTCTCTCTCTCTCTCCTTCTCTCTCTTTCTCCCTCTCTTCTCAGAAATAAGACACTGTAACTATTTATTTCTATATGAAATCTGCTTGCTTTCTCTTTCTAAAATGGCAGCCTATCAAAACAAGATTTAATAGCTGTGCTGAAATTTTTTCATTGCCATATGAAATCTGGCTGCTCCCTTTCTCTCCAATTGCATCCTTGCAAAAATGGAGTACAAACTGTCCAGCAAATCTGTATAATTTTTCTGTCTTCAGGCCGCATTCACACTTGTGTTTCCTGAAAGTCAACTCACAGGAAACATGCCTTTTGCTTTTCAGAAACGCACAAAAAACACAATGCGAACGTGCGCCGCATTAAATGTTAATGGCACCCAAAATGCAGTTGGCAGTGTGCATTTTTATGCACATTCTGTCATGCCTCAAACATGCTACTGAAAAAGGTTCTGAAGGTTCTTTGGCACATTTGGTTTGTGTAAGGTAGCCCATTCACATGAATAGGCTGCCCTATGCGCAATGCACAGAAACACATGAAACATGCACAAAAAAAAAAGCAAGCAAGCACAGACAATCTCACTACACCAAATGTGAAAGGGGGTCTCAGCATCAGAATAAATACACTGTAATGTTTTATTTTCAACTTAAATCTTCTTGCTCTCTCCCTTGCACATTGTATCTGTCCGGCAAAGATGTACACTTTTTCTGCCTTTGGTCTCAGAAAAATACACTGAAATTTTTCATTTCATGAGAAACCCTGCCTAGTCTCTCCAAATCTATTGAGGAGGCATAGTAAAAGCAGCTTACATGTTGTGAAGCACATCATTCCAATATTTCTTGACTCTGATATAATAAACTGTCATTTTTCTCACAGTGAAAACAGCCCCATCTCTTCTTCTAACATAATGGCCCAGTAAAACTACTTACATAATGTTCAGCTATTCCATACATTATACCTAGCTGCTGTGTTTTAAATATCACACTCTAATTGTTGTTATATTATAAAATATTACTCATCTCTCCTGCTTACATTGCTGTCCAGTGCCCAGTCAAGGTGCTTACATACTCTCCAGCCACTGTTCTATATGTGTGGCTATTGTCTCTACAACGTGACACTGTAATTTTTGATTCAGCATAACAACTACCTCATCTCTGGAATATGGTTTGTGGTTTTGAAGTGTTTTGGTTCACTCTATTTTGACATTGTATTAAAACTTGTGCACAATATAGTGTGATACTGAAAAGAAATCACAAGCTATTCTATGGAAATAGTTTTGCCACTGCCAAAGTTGTTGATGGCTTTAGCTTTATTTTTTCCAAGTGTATACTATTCAATAGATTTTAAATCTATTGTATACATTTCTTCCACAGCTCAATTCTCACATATTACTGCTACACAAAAAACTATTGTCTTGCCATAAAAACACCTAATAAAGGAAATCAATCCTATTAGGTTCCTGCTGCCATAGGGAAGCCAATAAAAAATTAACAAAGTAAATTGCAATCTTTTATAAATTTTTCTCTTTCGTCCACGTCCAGGGAAATTAGCTACAGTGCCATGGGCTGTAAATGTCTTGACAATGTTGCGCACAGTGGACACAGGAACATTAAGATCTGTGAATTGATACAGGTGGGTTTAATTACAAATTACAGGAGCATCACAAACTTGGATTGCAATTATTTATTACAATTTTGAGAAGGTGCCAATAATTTTGTCCAGTCAATTTTTGGGATTTTGCATGGAATGTGTCATATTTGGCTTTTTGTTTCTCAACTTTTTTGTGTCATTCCAATACAAACAAAAGAAATAAGCATGAGAATGCCTAAACATTTGTAATTGCAACAATTTTCTGGGCGTAGTAGTGCATTATCTGACAGGAATGCAGGAGTGCCTATATTTTTGGCCATGACTGTAACTGGATACTAACATTTATAGGTAAAGTTGATTCAGGGAATATCTGATTGCCTCTCGGGGGATCAGGAAGGAATTTTTCCCCTGCTGGAGGAAATTGGATCATGCTTTCCTGGGGTTTTATTCCCTTCCTCTGGATCAACTGTGTGTATAGTATTGTGTATATGGGATTGTATTTTTTTTTTCCTTTTTATTGGCTGAACTAGATGGACTTGTGATTTTCTCAAAATTGTATGTTAGTGCAAATAAAAAAAGTATCACAGACAGTACTCAATTTTTTCTTTTCAACCAGACTAACTATGTAATACAGAGACAAACCTCTTCTACACCTCTGATCACATGGACAATGATTGTGAGCCTGTTTACCTGTATGCATTGCACAAACACGTGCATTACACCAATGTACGTTACATGCATTGTTGCAGTGCAGTGCCATTCATTTTGAATGTAACTAACAGTTGGGGGCGGTAAAATCCAATGGTTGAGCCATGGTTTTACCTTCCCCCAACTGCTCACCTATTAGCTGCAGAGGCAGCAGCTGGAGGTGTACACATGCCATTATTATACCCTCTGTCGCTTTCAAGTGAAAGGGGCTGCTATGCATCCGACCTGCAACCACGTGCAATGCATATGGTTGCGTGGACTTCAAGGGCTTAAAGGAAGTTGTGAGGAGGAAATACAACACTTCCTTTCCGCCTGTCAAATGTCGATCGCTCTTTACACTTTAGACATTTGTATAAAGGAGCCCTAACACACTGAGGCCATGCACCGTGTATTATGTAAAATATTTTGTGGCATGTCCAAGGTTCCGGACATTTTGGTGCATTGGCAGCCCATTGATTTCAATGGACTTCCATAACACAACACAAATTAACACGCAACATAACACGTGTTGACACCCCACAAGGATTTAAATGTCCTTGTGCTTGGGACCTTAGTGTGGCCATACATAGCCTCATTCTGTGCTGGTCGACAGCCCATCTCATTGTGAGATTCCCTAGGGTGGCACTCTAGAAGTATTACTGACCATCAATGGCAGGCAGATGTCTGACCTACTGCCATTAACCTACTACAAGCCTAATTTATTGTGCTAGGAAAGATACACAACCTGCTTCTTAACCTCCTTAGTGGTATTCCTGAGTGTAGCTCGGGGTAAAATGTCAGTACCAAAAGCGGTAACCCCGAGCTACACTCGGGCATACCATGCAGCGTTGCATAGGGAGTCCCTGAAGCACTTACCTTGTCCTTCGCTCCCACGATGTTTCCCCTGCAGCATCCCCGGCCATCTCCTCCGACTGATGCCGGCATCCGGCTTCCGTGTTCCGGTCCCTGTGACGTCGGGACGCTGGCGGCAAATTTGAAATTTTTAAAAAATGTCATTTTTTAAAAAAATGATTATTACATAGTAAAACATTGCTGTTTCAATGCATTTCACATACATTTTGTCCCTACTGCTTTGTCCTGTGCCCTGCCTGCATTTTGACTGTTCTTTCTGCCTGGAAACTTAGAAAAGTCCATGGCGTCCAAAAAGCGTCCCTTTACGTCAAAAGCGGTTTTAGACCGGCTAGAGAACAGCGATAGTAAATCAGAACCACTTGCAGAATTGAGTGATAATGATTCGTGGGGGAAATTCGTCATCAGACACTAAAAATGATTTTACGACTTTGCTCAGCGATGTGCGAATTTGCCTCTGTATTTCAAATTTCAGTGTTTTTGGTTTGATTATATTATTGAATTAAATTTATTATTATTATATTATTATTTTTTATGATTATTTATTAAATTATAATTTATGATTTTGTGTTTCAAATTTTATCCTACCCGGAATGTTTACTAGACTCTTGTTCGGACAGATTTCAGTGAGTTATTCCTAAAAATTACAGCCTACAATAAAAAACTACATATTTCCATGCAAAAAAATGGTACCGCTTTCAGCACAAAAAATCGGAAAGAATCATACCGATAGGGAGGTTAAAATGTTATTTGCCATTCCCACTCGACAGAAGTCAGTCTAATGATCATCTTCTGTTGAACAGGAACGTTGCAAAACTTTCATTCGATCAGCGGCTGCAGTGCTGATCAGTGTATTCTGAGAGTGAAGGAGTCCCTGATGTCAGAATACAGTAAGGGTCCTTTCACATGGGTGTTCCGTTTTTTCTCTTCAGTTCAGTCACGTTTTTTCAAAGAATAAACGGGTGACTTTACATCTGTTTTTTCATCCGTTTACATCCGTTTTTCATCTGTTTACATCTGTTTTTTCATCTGTTTTTTCATCCGTTTTTCATTCATTTACATTTCTTCCATTTACATTGGTTTACATCAGTTTTTCCTCCATTTAGATTCGTTTTCATCCATCTACATCCATTTTTGGTCTGTTTACATCCGTTTTTTCGTCCGTTCAGGGTTTTTTTTTTTTGCGGAAGAAAAATAAGGTTTTCTTCCATTCAAAAAAAAACAGATGCTAACGGATGCGGACATTAACGGACGTAAAAAGATGTTCATCCGTTTACATCTGCAAGTCCATAGAAATACATGGGGGTCCGTTTTTCATCCATAAACGTACAGTTTAAAAACGGACATACGGAACACCTGTCTGAAAGAGACCTAATACAGTGGGGAGGATTTCTCAATCCACCGCTTTTGTGTGGATGGGGAATTCACAAATTTTTTAATTTGTTGGCCAGCCCACCACCTGATAAATAAAAATCCATCCATGCATGGCCAGCCTAAGACATTAGAAAAAGGTATTTATTGTTATATTTTTTTCTGACTGTGTAAGAGGGAGGGTGGAGGAGGCAAAACAAAGGAAATCTTCTTCGTGGGTGAAGGTCTGCTTTGGGCTCTGAGGAAGAGGCCTCAAAACGCGTCAGCCAGTTGGTCATCCAGGGTTCCATCGTTGTGGACTCAGCTGCTATATGGATTGAACCACATTGTTCATTGTGATGTGCCTGTGTTTTATATGTCCATTGTGAGTATGATACCTACTTTTTTATTCTTTCAATAAATATTTTAAACGATAATGCACTAGGCCGGTACGCCCTCTTTGTTTTTCTTTTGCATGAAGGTCTGCTTAAGCCTGGGTTTACACTTCTGCAGTGCGGCTTATTGCATGTGATTCGCACAGGAACCACATTCCTGTGCAAATCACATGCGAATTCTGTGCGGTGCAATTTGAGAAATACGTTTTGTATGGCTCAAATCGCACCACATCCGCATCAAAAAGCTGCAGGACCCTTTTTGTTCAGTCGGCACTACAATCGGATCGCATGGGTATTCACACCGCGTTTTGCGAACTGATTTCGGGTGTTGTTAACGCCCACTTAAGCCTGGGTTCACATTTCTGCGGTGCAACATATCGCATGTGATTTGCACAGGAACCACACCGTATTCCTGTGCAAATCACATGCGAATTCTGTGTGGTGCAATTTGAGACATATGGTTTGTATGGCTCTAATCGCACTGCATCCACAACAAAAAGCTGCAGGACCCTTTTTTTTGTTGGCACTAGAATCGGATTGCATGGGTATTCACACCTATGATTATTTATTAAAGGTCAGCCTAGGAAGAAGGAAAAATGGATTCAATTTTCCACAAATTTTGGATGGGTAATTGATGCTTATATAGTGCCGTCAATTTACGCAGTGCTTTACATATATATATATATATTGTACATTCACATCAGTCCCTAACCCTCAAGGGGTGTACAATCTAAAGTCCCTAACTCACATTCATACATATACATACTAGGGCCAATTTAGACAGGAGCCAATTCACCTACCAGCATGTCTTTGGAGTGTGGGAGGAAACCGGACTACCCGGAGGAAACCCACATATGCACAGGCAAACTCCAGGCAGGTGGTGCTGGGGTTGGGATTCGAACCCACGACCCTAGTACTGCCAGGTGGAAGTGCTAACCATTTAGCCACTGTGCTGTCCATTATAATTATGATGCGGTGCGGAATTTGCACAAAAACCAGTGCAAATTCCGCACCGCATCAGTGTGAACCCAGACTTAATAGTGAAGTGCAATTGTTGTGTAAAGTGATGTCTTCATAGAAGGAGGAGATGGAGATCAGGACAGAAAAAAGCAGCTGCGGATAGGAGGAAGCAGGCTTTGTTGGCAGCTCTGTAAGAAGGAGTGTGTATTGTTCCAGCTGAGTCACAGATCATGTGCTCAGTCATGCTCTCCATTTATCACTGCAGGACATGCATATTACTCAGTAATCAGTCACAGGATGCAATGAAACACAATACATCACACAGGTATTTCCTCTGCTAGACACGGGGACCTTTGCCTCTGCAGCTCAGTGCATGCTGAGATTTATATTCCATTTGTATCAAAGTAGCTAACAGGGGCGGACTAACAACTCATGGGGCCCCCGGGCAATAGGGGATCATGGGGCCCCTGTGTCCTTGCCCAAACTCAAAAAAGCCTATGAAAAAGGTACCAGGGGCATCTCATGGGGCCCCCTACTGACCCCGGGCCCTCGGGCAGTGCCCAAGTTTCCATATGGTCAGTCCGCCCCTTGTAGTTAATATTAACCTGTCTGGTGTAAATTAAGGCTCCATGCACACTGGGCGTTTTAATAACACTGGTAGCATTAGCTGTGTAATGTCGCATTAAAAAAACGCACGTTTTTCAGAATTTTTTTAGCGTTTAGCTGCGTTTTTCTGCGCTTGCGGCTTTTAGTGGTTTTTTTTTTTTTTTTTACAAAAAAAATTTGTGCTAAAAAAAACTTCCAAAAACACCGGTTTGCCGCGATTTACTGTATTTTACCGCGTTTTTCTGCGTTTACCAGCATTAGAGCGTTTTTACAGCTAAAAAAGCTCTAGAAACCCACTAGCTCTGGGGTTTTTTTCCAGCCAAAAAACGCTGATTAACCCCCCTGGCGGTATTCCCGAGTGTAGCTCGGGGTAAACTTTCAGTACCAAAAGCTACACTCGGGAATACCCTGCAGCGTTGCTCCGGGATCACTCCAGCACTTTCCTTGTTCTTCGCTCCTGTGATGTGCCCCCTGCAGCGTCCCTGGCCAGCTCCTCCGGCCGATGTCGGCATCCGTCTTCCGAGTTCCGTTCCCCGCGAGCGTCGGGATGTACGGGACGCATGGTAAATGAAACCGGCGGGAAATTCAAAAAATGTTAAAAAGTGACAGTCACTAAATACAATAAAATCACATAGTACAACATTACTGTTTCAAACCATTTCACATACATTTTGTCCCGAGTGCTTTGTCCGTGCCCTGCCTGCATTTTTACTGTTCTTTCTGCCTGGAAACTGAGAAACGTCCATGGTGTCCAAAAAGCGTCCCTTTAGGTCAAAAGCGGTTTTAGATCAGCTAGAGAACAGCGATAGTAAATTAGAACTACTTGCAGAATTGAGTGATAATGATTCGTGGGGAAATTCGTCATCAGACACTGAAAACGATTTTGCAACTTTGCTCAGTGATGT